TTCTCTTTTTTGAGGGGGGGGGGTGGTATTATGATTTTGGTAGAACAGATAGAAAATTGATTTCTGTCCTCATGTAAGTAACTCAGAAAGGCCAAAAATGTATATAATGTTGTTGTAATTGTAAAGAAGCTATTTTGTGTTGCTGTCCCACAAATGGTTTACTGCCCACTGCCCAGCTTTGTAAATTGCGTCGAATTGGGAGACAGCTTTATCTAATATTTAAACAAAGCATGAATTTTTCTTTTGACAATATTATTTGTCTGAAAAGGATAATCACTGGTTTCTAAAAAGCTTTAGAATTAATGGAGAAGTACATTTGTAATAATTATTTGTCATGTATTCATATGCTTTATCAAACTATTAGTTTGATTTCTTTTAGTAAACTTCCTAAGTGGGTGGTTGGTGGGTGCTCTGGTGTGGTTTTCTCCTTCTTATCTATCAAACACATATCGTCCTGATCTCTGCTCCTTTTTAAAATTTGTTACTCTCTTGTAACACATCTAATCTTTTTATATGACCTCATAGTGTTGCGAGTGCCGTAAAACTTTTACTAAAACCGAATACTTCCTGTCAAATTGTATGAATTTCTGTCCGTCCTTTTGATTGTTTTTCACGTGGGTGGTTGGCGGGTGCTCTGGTGTGGTTTGCTTCTTCTTTCCTAACAAACAGCTATCGTCTTTATCTCCCCTCCTTCTTTTTTGTGTTTGTTACTCTCTTGTAATACCCCTAACCTTTGGCACTTATATGACGCTATTGTGTTACAAGTGCCGTAAAACACTTACTAAAACTAAAACTAAAACGATTGTTTTTCACAAAGACGTGTACTGGGAAACCCAAGTCAGAATGTAGCGCTCACACCACCGAATCGTGCCGGCTGGGCGATAAAACAAATACATGTACCCAGACTAACAAACGTCTTATGTCCGATGTGGGCGTAAAATCGGAGGTCCCGACTTGTATACATGATGTACTACTACCGGAATTGTTCATGTATGTTTAAAATGCAATTGAAGTCAGAGGCAGAGACATTGACATTAAACGAACAGTATCGGTTACTGCTTTCTGTGACCCCTGCCAAGTGGAAGATTTTTGTCCTTGACCATATTAATTGGCTGTGGCGATTGCAGATGCAGGTCACTAGAAAGAGGTAATTAATGCTCATTTCCTAGGAAACTGGTTTTTTTTTGTGTGTATGTGTGTGTATGTGTATGTGTGTGTGTGTGTGTGTGTGTGTGTGTGTGTGTGTGTGTGTGTGTGTGTGTGTGTGTAGAAGTGGCGTAAAACGAACTTGCAATTAAACATACGACTCACTTCTTTACTTCTCCTATTAAATCTGGTTTGATTGGGTTTTTTTACGACACGGACTTGAAGCCTGTGGCTTTTTGTTTAACTCATTGAAGACGCCAGTCCTGCCTTGTCAAATGCTTGGAAAAGCTTAACTTCGTTTAATCCATACAGGTTTTCCAGTTTTGTTTTCTTTTGAAGAAATTTAGAAAGGCAGGCAACAGCATTTATATTAATATGAAATGTCAAATGTTGTGTTTGTGGTTTGTGTATGTGGGCTTGAAATGTGCCACAACAGTGAATTTGAACTGCTTTTGGTCGGACAAATCTGTCTGACGCGTCCTTAAAGTGTTAAATACGGCTTAACGTTAATTGACTCTGACGCTGTGTTTTGACTACAGCGTTGTATTTTGGTTGTGGCGTTGTATTTGAGCGTGACATTATGATGTATTGACTGTGGTGTTAGGTTTTCAACATTGACTTCGCATTTGTAAAAAAAAAAAAAAGGAAGAAGAAAAAGAAGAAGAAGAAGAAGAAGAAGAGGAAGAGGAAGAGGAAGAGGAAGAGGAAGAGGAAGAAGAAGAAGAAGAAGAAGAAGAAGAAGAAGAAGAAGAAGAAGAAGAAGAGGAGGAGGAAGAGGAAGAAGAAGAAGAAGAAGAAGAAGAAGAAGAATTCAAGAAATAAATTACTGGCCTCAAGGGGTTGAACTTGGAGATTACACTTTTGACCTCTCAGTGGATATGGGTGGCTGGAAGACGCCACTGACATGTCCTACTTCTTTACTCTTCTTTTATTTTTGTCTATCAGTCTTTTTATTTCTTCACACTAAATGACCGTTACTGTGCCAATGTGCTTCTCTACACTAAGGTGAAACTGATTGCCTGATGCTCTTATTACGACTATACCCGTGATACCCATATCTTGTTGAATGCTATTGATGTTCATCTTGACCTGTGCAGCAACAGGCGAGCTAGTTGCAGTTTCTTGATCAATGTCTCTCTGCGGCTATGGTGTAGTTGGCCTAGGTTCGAATGCACAATGGGGTTTTATTGAATTTTTTTTCTTCTTCTTTTTTTTGGGTGGGTTGGGGGGGGGGGGGGGGTCTCAACGCCGTCCACATCTGAGGTCGCCCTTCGTTTACTTCGATCGGCCCCTGTCGGAAATGATCTTTGCATTAAAGGTCCCACCACTTAAATAATCTTATAGTGTTCAAACGAGCGTTAAAGCCATGCCGTTTCATACCTTTCATAAAAAAGGGGGAGGAAAACAAAACAAAAAAAGAAGCAAACCAGAAGAGCCCACAAAAAACCGCTGCACCCCACTCTCCACCCCCTCCTCCAACCTGTCCTGGCTCAAACTCGGCGCGTGGGTGGTTGATGGGTGCTCTGGTATGGTTTGCTTCTTCTGTCCTATCAAACGTATATCGTCTTTATCTCCCCTCCTTCTTTTTTGTGTTTGTTACTCTCTTGTAATACCTCTAATCTACGGCTTTTATATGACCTTATTGTGCTGCAAGTGCCGTAAAACACTTACTAAAGAAAAACGAAACTCAGCGTATAACCTGATAATATTTCGGACACGCCGTTATCTTACTTGGTATCATGTGGACAACAGAATGGGGGGGGGGGGGCTGGTTTGAATCCCAGCTGGGCGTTCAGAGCTTAGCTTGTTTTGGGGAGGGGAGAGTTGTTTTTTTTTAAGGCTCTTCATCCATTTGGCTATGCCCGGTCAAAAATTGATATTAAATTAAATTCGGAAGTCTCGCATCTTAAATAACCCTTCTTAGGTGTTGAAAGGGGCATTGAACCTATACAGTGGGTGGTTGGCGGGTGCTCTGGTGAGATCTGCGGCTTCTTTCCTATCAAACATCTATCGCCCTTCTCTCTCCTCTTCCTTTTTGTGCTTGTTACTCTCTTGTAACAGCACTAATCTTCGGCACTTACGTGGCCTCATTATGTTGCAAGTGCCGTAACCCGCTTTCTAAATCTAAACCAATACAGTGATCACTGGCCTATGTTCGTGTCTCCAGCTGCAAGCCGCCACTGCCTTCAGCAAGATGGGTCTGGAGGGCACGCCCAGGATTCCCGCCAAAGGCCGTACCTTCAGTGTCCAGTACTCTCTGCCCCGTCTGCCGGTTCCGCCCCTTGACCAAACCCTGAGGAAGTACCTGGAGACTGTGCAACCCATTCTGACTGATGACCAGTTGGAGTCTACCAAACAGGTGAGTTTTAATGTGTGTGTGTGTGTGTTTTGGGTGTGTGTGTGTGTTTGTGTTGTGTGTTTATGTGTATGCGCGCGCGAATGTGTGTGTGTGTGTGTGTGTGTTTGTGTTGAGTGTTTATGTGTATGCGCGCGCGAATGTGTTTGTGTGTATGTATGTATGTATGTATATGTGTGTGTGTGTGTGCGTATGCGTGTGCGTGCGTGCTCATGTATGTGTTTGTATATTTTAGAATATGTGCCCGCGCGTGTGTATAATATGCGGTACCTACGTGCATTTATGCGTGCTTATCAAAGACAGGGGCAACGACCAAAATAACCTCAGCAACAACAACAGCTTCATCATTTACCAAACTTACAACTAGAATAACAACAGTCAGAACAACAGGTTAACACACAAAAACAATAACCACCACCACCACAACAACAACAACAACAACAACAACAACAACAACAACAACAACGGAAACAACAGCTGCAACGGCAGCAAGAGCAACAACAAAGCAATGATGACATCATCATCAACAACAACAACAACAACAACAACAACAACAACAACAGCAATAACAGCGACCAACACAAGCACACAACAATATTGACAATAAGGCCTACTACAGTTATAACACTCGTAACAGAAAAAACAATAACAACAAAGCAACAACAACAATAACGACAGCAGCAACAACAATAACGACAGCAGCAGCAGCAGCAGCAGCAACATCAACAACAAGAGCAGCAGCAGCAGCAACAGCAATAACAGCGACCAACACAAGCGCAACAATAATGACAATAAGGCCTACTAAAGTTATAACACTCGTAACAAAACCCCCCTGCAACAACGACAAAGCAACAACAACAACACAACAACAATAACAACAGCAGCAGCAGCAACAACAACAACAACAACAACAACAACAACAACAACAACAACAACAACAACAGCAGCAGCAGCAACAACAACAACAGCTGGTAACAAACTTTGGATTAGGATGAAAGAAGAGCTTACACTGACGGACACGAAACCCAGAGATTGAAGAGCTACGGCCTCTGTTTGGGTTTTGCCCTCTATTGAACTCTGGTTTCTATTTGTTGTTTGGGTTTTGCCTTAGAGAAGTCTGGCCTTTGTTTGGGTTTTGTCCAATAGAACTCGGGCCTCTGTTTGAGTTTTGCCCTAGCACTTTGGCCTCTGGGTTTTGTCCTATCCATAGAGCTCTGGCCTCTATTTATGTTTTGCCATATATAGAGAAATCTGGCCTCTGTTTGGGTTTTGCCATATATAGAGAACTCTGGCCTCTGTTTGGGTTTTAAAGAAGTCTGGCCTTGCCCTATAGAACTGTGGCCTCTGTTTGGGTTTTGCCATATTATATAAAACTGTGGCCAGGGAGTCGCCGTTTGTCAGTTGACGTTGTCGGGTGACCCTGGTTCGAGCCCCCAATATGGCGTCTTTGAACTTGGGTTATTTTGGAGGGTTTCCAAGATACCCCTTATACTTGGCTCCGTCCTATCGGAAATGTGCGTTAAATTCGGAGGCCCCGCCTTTCCAATGAACTTGCAATGTTGAAAAAGGAGTTAAGCCCGTCCCACATCCATCCATCCATCCATCCATCCATCCATCCATCCATCCATCCATCCATCCATTCTTTAGCTAACGGTGGCCACTGCTCATTTTTTGGTAACTGTCTTACGGCGCTCGCAACTGCATAAGGCCGTATTAGCGCGCGGGACACACCAAACATTTTGAATTAGTAGGAAATTTTGAATGTTGCCCGGGTGGCGGCCGAAGCCTACTCTTATAGATTTTGGACCATCAAGGGATCTTTAACGTGCGCAAGTTGCACACGGGACCTCCGATATTTTTCGCCCTTGTCCGAGAAGGCTAGGTGTAGATCTTTCCTACCAGAAGATCAGGGATGTGGCTGACCTCTAGGCCACGAGAGAGCCCCCCCCCCCCCTCCGATCCTTGAAGTGAGCTGTGTGAATTGCAGTCTTCTGAAACCGTTTACATTATTGTCTTCGTAATTAAATACGGAGGGGTGGAGGGGGCGGGGCCCAAGAAGGGTTCCTTTTCTTATGTCAGCATTGTATGCATGTATTGTTTTTGCAACCTCCCAAATTTTTATTCACTACTATTACTATTTGTAGAAAAGTTTTTTTTCTCATATCTGGCACGATGTTGTGGATTCAGGCTCTCGTCGAAATAATCAAAGTGAAGAAACTTGCATTTGTCCGCAGATTTGTGAATTTTTTATCAAATTTTTGTTTTTTGGCTCAACACCTTTCATGCCCATTGAAGAACTTATTTCTGTGTGGATTTTTCTTAAAGATGTTGATTAAAGGCACACAAAATGTAAATTTTCAGTTACCGCGGACTCTAAAGCGAAGGAAATAACTAATCTTTGGCGGCCATTTTCTCACTAATTTTACCTCTGAAAACAGGTGACCCCCACCTCCTTCATTCGCAAATATCCGGACTTGTATTCAAGATAAATGGATATTTTTTTCATCCTAATATAAACAAGTGAACAAGCTTTAAGATGATGCCAATAACTCTACATGCCCAAAAATTGACGAGAGCCTGATTCCACCACGCTGCCTCACATATGTTTTTCCCAACTGTTCAGCTGTCGGTCGTGGGCAATACTTTCAAAATTGATTTATGAGTGAAGTGGTCATTCGCTCGTTGTTTTTGTTTTCGTTCTGGATTTTTTCATGTATGTTTAAAATGCTATTGAAGTCAGAGGTAGAGACATTGATTGACATTAAACGAACAGTATCGGTTACTGCTTTCTGTGACCCCTGCCAAGTGGAAGATTTTGTCCTTGACCATTTTAATGGGCTGTGGCCATTGCAGATGCAGGTCACTAGAAAGAGGTAATTACTGCTCATCTCCTAGGAAACTGGTTTTTTTTTTGTGTGTGTATGTGTGTTTGTGTGTGTGTGTGTGTGTGTGTGTGTG